GGCCGCCGGCAGATGCGCGCCTCGCTCGGACGCCATGCCCCGCCGGACGCGGTGCAGCGGCGTCACTTCCGGCCCGCGCCGGAAGCCGGAACAAGAGTTGACTGCAGCGGCCGGCTTCCGCGTGAGCGCCCGGCTTCCGCGGTCGTCCTTCATCTGGAGACCCCCCGGCCCCGGGCCGCGCCCCAATGTCGAGCCCGCGGCTTCTGGTGCTCTTCGGTAGCCAGACCGGCACGGCCGAGGATGTGGCTGAGAGGCTGGGCCGCGAGGCCCGCCGCCGACGGCTGGGCTGCCGGGTGCTGTCCCTGGACGCCTACCCGGTGGTGAGGACCCCTGAGCATCTAGTCCGGGTGGGGGTCCGTGATCTAACCCCACGGCACTGGGGAGGAAGGAGCCAGGGAGGAGGGTGCAGTCCGAGTGCACGTGAGCCCCTGACCCTCCGTGGGGCTGGGGGGCGTGGCAAGCCCCCAGACAGTAACAGCTGGAGAGCTTACCCTTGTGTCTTTCTGTTGAGGTGAATCTGATTAACGAGCCCTTGGTGATAATTGTTTGTGCAACCGCAGGCCAAGGAGACCCCCCTGACAATATGAAGGTGAGGTGCAGTGGATCTGGTCCCCCTTTCCAGCCCCTTTCCCCCCCCCCCCCATCATCCTGGGAGTCACAGAGGCACAGGGATTAGGTGTTCTGTGTCCACTGCACACACAGGCTTGTGGGCCTCACCTGACCCCCGAGCCTGGGAGGCTATTATCTCTGGGTGGAGCTGTGGGCCCAATGAGCTCTTCTTCATGGTCAACTCTCCTGTGTATCCAGGGGCCCTCGGAAACCCACAGGAGTAGTACTACCCTTTCCCACAGGGTCGCCGTGAGTCAGAGTAGATGGCAGTAAGTTTGGTGGCACAGGGGTGAAGCACTCATGGGCAGCTAACCCAAAGGTTGGCAGTTCGAATCCACCAGCCGCTCTGCAGGAGGCAACTGTGACCAGGAACGGCTAGAATCATGGCAGGCCGCGAGGCCTTAGGGGGCATTTCTGCTCTGCCCTGTAGAGTCAGGACAGGTGGCAACCCTGGGCTTGGGTTTAGTATTGATTACGTGAATCTGGTTCTGCAAGTCTGGAATGCATCTTGTGTTGTCCCGGGCTGCTTGACCTTCAGGGGATGCTCTGTAGCCACCTACTGAGCACACTTCAGATTCCAGCTGGAACAGGACAGCCACGTGTCTGCCCTCCTGGTGGCACAAGGACTCCACGCTGGGCTGCTAACTGCAAGGTCAGCGATTCAAGCCCATCAGTTGCTCTGTGGCAGCTTGCTTCTGGAGAGGTTTTACGATCAGAAGTGCTTGGGGCAGCAGAGTTCTACTCTGTCCTGTGAGGTCACCACGAGTTTTTTGAACTCACAATATGACCAAAGTGGCCAGGGTAGTGGGCAAATAAGTACTGGGGGGGCCAGCTGGTGTGGTGCCTCTTGCTCCACGTGGGGCTTGGGGCAGCTTGTGGAAGAAAGGCATTAAGCGGAGCCCTGGAAGGCGTAAGGGCTAGACAGAGCCCTGGAGGGCAGTAGGGGGTAGGCAGGCCTGGGAAGGGGAAGCTGCCTGTGCAGGGAGAAAGACCACCGGCCATGGGGAAAGCAAGATGCAGTTCATTGCAGCTGCACCAGGGCATGTCTCAGGTGGGAGGGGCAGGAGGTCGGTCGCCCCTGGGCTGGGGGATCCAGTATTTTAAGCAGACTGCCATGTGTCAGCCTGGGAGCCATGTGTGGCCTGAACTTGGGGATGGCTGGGGTGAAGGCAGGTGGATGCGCCCCAGAAAAAAGGGGGCATGGGAATATGGACAATGAGGAGTCTGTGTCAGCACAGGATCAGAAGGCCAGTCTCCATGGGGCCGGACAGAGGGACCCTGGAAGGCACCAAGCAGAAGGTGCCCGTCGGTCTGTCTGGGCTAGCACTCCATGTTGGTGTGGCCAACAGTCAGTATGGGAACTCAGAAGGGGAAGGGGAGATGTGAGAAAGGAGATGCCAACTCCCAGCCAGGCCACACTGAGCTTCGGGGTGTGGGAACACAGAGGAGAGCCTGCATGGGGGCAGTTGGGGCCGAGTAGATGCCTCCAGCATGTTTCCACAGCTGTGAATGCTTGCAGAAGCAGGCTGCCTCCTCTCACCCTGCAGAGCGGCAGGTGGCCCTAACCCACCACACTCTTGGGGGGGGCCCTAGTCACTTGGAGAGGGGCTTGGCTGTGCACCATATTTTGGGGGGGGCCACAAATTCAGCCCATGCCATGTGGAAATTGGGGTGTGACGGGAGAGAATGGGGGTCGGTGGAGGGCTGTCAGCTGGGGGCACAGGGCGGAGGGAGGTGGTAGCAGTCATGGCAGGTGGACGGACCCAGATGGAGACAAGTGCCAGGGCAGCCTACCAGAGCTGAAATCCGTGGGCGGGAGGCGGCCAACTTCACCCTGGGCCCCTCAGGGGTGGGTGCAGACAAGGTGTCTACCAGGCAGGCAGACACTTCTCCAGGGGGCCAGGTGGACAGACCCTCCTCGCCAGGAACCCACAGTCCACCAGCCCAGCCCCACAGCTTCTTATGCAGCCCATGTGAGGAAAGGCTCTGGGCCACAGGGGAGACTGCGTGGGAACAGGCCCCGAGGGGTCACAGGCAGAGCCGAGCCTGGCGCTAGGCAGAGAAACCCCGAGGGAGCCGGGCAGGCGGCCAGAGGGTTCTCCGGCACATGTAACAGCAGAGACACGGGGAACAAACAGAAGGTGCCAGCCTCCGGAGATCCCTGAAGGGTCAGAGGGAGCAGAGGACGGGCTGTCCCAGCTCAGGAGGGGGTAGCCCAGCTGGGGAACATCCAGAGCCTGGAGGCCCTTCCCCAGGCACAGAGCAAGGCCACTGGAGTGCCGTGGGCAAGGGCCCAGCAGCCACCAGCTTCCACAGTGGCCTTGGAGGTGGGAGGCCTCCTGGGATCTCAAGCAAGCATACACCCGGGCCAGCTCCTCGTGACTCCGCTGGGGAAGCCCAGGTGGCAGTGGAACTCAGAACAGGGAACCAGCTGGCTGATGTCATTTCTCCAGGGCCTGCTCAGGGCCCCTGGGTCTTGTCCGCCTGCCTTAGATGACAGGCCCCGAGCGAGCGCCCCCCTGGCAGTTCTGGAGTGGGAGGAGGGGCTCTGGGGCTTAGGGCCGTGCTCAGGGAGGTGTGAGATGTCCAATCCGGCTGGCCCCTCTGCCTGACTTCCTCTGGCATGAAAGGGTCTCAGGCTCAGACCTTGGCAGTCCAGGTGAGCTAGTGGGCAGGGCTCCCCTGGGCAGAAAGTGCCGGCTTTCCCGCTGCTTGGCCCCTAGGTGGCGACGGGGTGTCGCTTTTTCTCAGGCTTATTCATGGTGTGTCTGGCCTCTGTAAACCATTGCTGCTGCCCCTGTTACCTTCTTCCTGTTGGGCCCTCCAGAGACTGGCCTTCCCCTCCCGGCTCAGTGCTGGGACCCCACCACAGCAGCCCTGGGCCTGCCCCTGAGGGGCAGCTGCTCTCAGCAGGGGTCTCTTCTGCTTGTAGAACTTCTGGAGGTTCATCTTCCGGAAGAACCTGCCACCGACCTCCCTCTGCCAGGTGGACTTTGCGGTCCTGGGCCTTGGGGACTCCTCGTACGTCAAGTGAGTTAGCAGGGCTCCGTGACAACGGCGCCTCATTCCCAAGCACCCCCAGTGGGGGGAGGGCTTACAAGACTTGCCCTGGGTGCCCAGGGACACTCTGAAACCCCAAGACTCCAGAAAGCACACAGAGACCACGCCATGCTGCCGGGAGCCCTGAAGAAGGACGGCCTCACCCACCCTGCTCCGGAGCAATGCTGAGACACGCCTCCCAGCCCTGAGGGCACAGCTCAGACTACCCCCAGCTCCAGCCAGAAGCCCCAGGCACGCCACTGCAGGCCCTGCCTGAAAGCTCCCCCTGGGTGAAGCACAGCCTGGCTCTCCTCCAGGGCCTCCGGGCTCCCAGCTCGTGAGGGAGCTCCCTGGGCCAGTGGCTGATTCCCGAGTTTGCTTTAGGGCAGCTGCCAGGCTGCTGCACCAGCTTCCACCTGCACTCAGGCCAGCTGCACTTAGCTCCTCTCCCTCTGCTTCCCTCCACCCGCCTTTACCTGTAAGCCAGATTTGTAAGCAAGCTCCTTTCTGGGACAGCCCACCAGGGCCCCACTGACCAATCACCTCTCCATAGGTCTCAGTCACTTCATTTGCATAACAGCCTATAGTCCCTCATTTGCATAGGGTACCGTCCAACCCCTGCACTGCCCTTTGTGAAATGGACCGATCACAGGGCTGACTGTAGCCCAAGGCCGGACAAAAAGTACCCCGGGAAGCTTCGCTCAGCCTGGGCCACAGCACCAGACCCAGAGGGTAGGACCGGAGTATGTGGGGCACACCTGAGGGACTAGAGGCAGGTGTGGGGGGCTTTCTGCCAGAGAATCACAACAAAGGCCATAAAAAGGGCTCTGCCTCCGCCCATGGCCACCTCTCCATACCCCGAGTCTCTGTGGCCTGAGTGACGGGTAGTGCTGCCCAGCCACCTGTCCACACCTCGAGTCCCC